ATGAATTAGCCTCCTTATATCAGAGATAACATTTGGCATTTTGCTTTTGGGGATTGACTCACTTCACTTAGCATTATCATCTTTAACTCCATCCATTTACCTGCAAATGCCATGATTTTATTCTCTTTTATTGCTGAGTAATAATCCATTGTGTTTATATGCCACATTTTTTATCCATTCATTTATTGAGAAGGGCATCTAGGTTGGTTCCACAGTAGCTATTGTGAATTGGGCTGCTACGAACATTGATGTGGCTGTGTCCCTGTAGTATGCTGTTTTTAAGTCCTTTGGGTATAGTCCAAAGAGATGGATAGGTGGGTCAAATGGTGGTTCCATTCCCATATTTCCAAGAAATGTCCATACTGCTTTCCATATTGGCTGCACCAATTTGAAGTCCCACCAGCAATGTATGAGTGTGCCTTTTTCCCCACATCCTCACCAACACTTATTGTTGTTTGCATGAATAATGCAAACAGAATGCAGCTTGCCATTCTGACCGGAGTGAGATGAAGTTTTAGATGGTTTTGATTTGCATTTCTCTATTGCTAGAGATGATGAACATTTTTTCATATATTTGTTGATTGATTGAATATCCTCTCTGAGAAGTGTCTGTTCAAGTCCTTGGCCCATTTATTGACTGGGTTATTTGTTTTATTGGTGTTTAGCTTTTTGAGTTCTTTATATACTCTAATGATTATTGCTCTATCTTATGTGTGAGGGGTAAAGATTTGCTCCCAAGATGTAGGCTCTCTATTCACCTCACAGATTGTTTCTTTTGCTGATGAGAAACTTTTTAGTTTGAGTCCATCCCATTTATTGATTCTTGGTTTTAAATCTTGTGCCACAGGAGTCTTATTAAGGAAGTTGATGCCTAATCCCACATGATGGAGATTGGGGCCTACTTTTTCTTCTATTAGACCATGGTCTCTGGTTGTATTCCTAAGTCCTTGATCAATTTGAGTTGAGTTTTGTGTATGGTGACAGAGGTTTAATTTCATTTTGTTGCATATGGATTTCCAGTTTTCCGAGCACCATTTGTTGAAGAGGCTATATTTTCTTCAGTGCATGTTCTTTGAACCTTTGTCTAATAGAAGATATCTGTAGTTTTGTTAGTCTCTGTGTCCTCTATTCTGTACCATTGGTCTACCAGCCTGTTTTGGTGCCAATACCATGCTGTTTTTGTTACTATTGCTCTGTAGTATAGTTTAAGTTCTGGTATAGTGATGCCACCAGCTTCACTCTTCTGCTAAGGATTGCTTTAGCTATTCTGGGCCTCTTGCTTTTCCAGATGAATTTCATGATTGCTTTTTTTATTTCTATGAGGAATGTCATTGGAATTTTGATCAGAATTGCATTAAATCTGTATAGTGCTTTTGGAAGTATGGCCATTTTGATAATATTAATTCTGCCTGTCCAAAAAGAAGATAGATCTTTCTATCTTCTAAGGTCTTCTTTGATTTCTTTCTTTAGGGTTCTGTAATTTTCATTATATAGACCTTGCCTTTGATTTATGGGAGTTGATTTTATATCCTGCTACTTTGCTGAATTCATTTACTCATTCTAGGAGTTTTCTGATGGAACTTTTAGGGTCTTCCAGGTATAGAATCATATCATCAGCAAGTTTTCTTTTTTTGATGTGTCTTTGCCTGGTTTTGGAATCAGGGTGATATTGCCTCATAGAATGAGTTTGGAAGTGCTCCTTATTTTTCTATTTTCTGAAGTAAATTCAAGAATATTGGTATTAGTTCTTCTTTAAAGGTCTTGTAGAACTCGGCTGTGCATCCTTCCAGTCCTGGGCTTTTCTTGACTGGTAGACTTTTGATGACATCTTCTATTTTGTCACTTGAAATTGAACTGTTTAAATTGTGTATATCATCCTGATTCAATTTAGGCAAATTATATGACTCTAAAATTTTTTTGATGCCTTCAATATTTTCCATTTTATTGGAGTACAAGTTTTCAAAATAATTTCTAATTATCTTCTGTATTTCTCTAGTGTCTCTTGTGATATTTCCTTTTTCATCACATAAATTAGTAGTTTGAGTTTTCTCTCTCCTTTGTTAGCATGGCTAAGGTTCTGTAAATTTTATTTATTTTTCAAAGAACCAACTTTTTGTTCTGTCAATTTTTTCAATTGTTTCTTTTGTTTGAATTTCATTGATTATTTCAGTTCTGATTTTAATTATTTCCTGTCTTCTGCTTTTGATGTAGATTTGTTCTTCTTTTTCTAGGGCTTTGAGATGTAATGTTAAGTCATTTGTTGACTTTTTCTTCTTTTAAGGAATGAACTTCATGCAATGCACTCTTAGAACTGCTCTCATAGTGACCCAGAGATTTTGATATGTTGTATCTATGTTCTCATTCACCTCTAAAAAAATTTAATCTCCTCCTTGATGTCTTCAGCAACCCATTGTTCATTCAGTAGCATATTATTTAGTCTCCACATGTTAGAGTGGATTTTTTTTCTTATTTTATCATTGATTTCTAATTTCATTCCCTTATGATCTGAGAGAATTCAGGGTAGTATATCTACTTTTTTATATTTGCTAAGAGTTGCTTTGTGGCATAGTATATGGTGTATTTTAGAGAAGGACCCATGTGCTGCTGAGAAGAAAGAGTATTCTCTTGTTGAAGGATGAAATATTCTATATATGTCAGATAAGTCTAAGTTATTGATTATATATTGATTTCCATAGTTTCTTTGTTCAGCCTTTGAACTGAACAAATATATATAAAACTGAAATAGATGTGTTAAAGTCACCCTAAATTATTATGTTGTGGTCTATTTGACTCTTGAACTTGGGAAGAGTTTGTTTGATGAATGTAGGCGCTCTATTGTTTGGGGCATATATATTTATAATTGTTAAATCTTGTTGGTGTATGATTCCCTGGAGCAGTATGTAGTGTCCTTCTTTATCCTTTTTGATTGATTTTAGCTTGAAGTCTATTTTATTTGATATGAGGATGGAAATCCCTGCTTGTTCTGCAGTTCATGAGAGTGATACTATTTTTCCTAACCCTTCACCTTCAGCCTGTGGATGCCTTTTCCTATGAGATGAGTTTCTTGGAGGCAGCATATTGTTGGGTCTTTTTTAAAATTCAATCTGCTAGTGTATAGCTTTTGATTAGTGAGTTTATTCCAGTAACATTCAGGGTTATTATTGAGACATGATCTGTATTCCCAGCCATTTTTGTTAATTTTTGGTATTTAACATGACTTGGTTTCTCCTCTGATTAGATTTTGCCTTAGTGTAATAGCTCTCTCTGCTGATTCTCATCATTGTTTTTTTTAATTTCCTCTTTGTGGAATACCTTGTTAGGTGCTGTTGAATCATTTCAGAAGCATTCTTCCTGGCATTGTCCACAGCTGTCATCCTAGCACTCTGTTCACTGGTGGTAGTCTCCTTCAGGGAGTAGTAGATAATGTTGGACAAATTGTATTCTTGATAATTTTGCAGCATATCAGCATCAATATCATCATAGATATTCATGCTCTCAGCACTTGCAATTGTATTAAGAGAAGAGATGGGCTTTTCTTCTGTCTTATAGGAGATTACAGACCTGAATTGATTAAAGATGATAGAGCCTTCATCAAACTCATATCCAGAATTTAGTAATTCAAGAGCAATGACCGATGCATCTCCAAAAGTAGGGGGCTTTGTTCCCACGTCTTTGAATGTCACCAAAAACTGATCCAAATGCGTCCTATGAAGTATGCCTTTGATTTTATCACCAACTCTAACAAGCATAACTTTTGTTCCAGCTGCCATGAGTGTAGGCACCTCACTTTTCATCTGTTTGGCAACCAAAGAATGAATAATACCACAAAGTCCTCTATCTGAGGACACACCAATAAGGAGGTGTTTCTTCTTGTCTTCAGGTTCCTTAATATCAGCTTTCTCATACAGAGCCAAAGATCCTATTCCATACACTCAAGCCGGTTTCAACTCCCTCTCAGCTCGGGCATATTTTGCTGCTGCTACCATTTTCATAGACTTGGTAATTTTCTGGATGTTTTTAATTGACTTTAGTCACCTGGTATTATCTTTCAGAGTTGCCATGTTTAAAACTTGGATCCATTGTGACTGCAATGCGCTGTCAGACAGCCCAATGATGCTCACCCAAGAGAACAAGGTGGTGGTACCAGTGCATTTGATTTTATTTGCAAGTATTTATTAAAGATTTTTGCATCTATGTTCATCAGGGATATTATTTGTCTATAATTTTCTTTTTGTTTATCAGGTTTGGGTAGTGTGGTAATACTGGATTCTTAGAATGAATTGGAAATATTCCTTCCTTTTATATTTTAAGGAATAGCTTGAGGAGAATTGAAATTAGTTCTTCTTTAAACATCTGATAAAATTCAGTCTTCAGTCATGAATCTATTCATTCATGAGATTTTTTTAATTATTATTTTTATACCTTAATTTTGTTTATTTATTTATTTTATGTGGTGCTGAGGATCAAATCCAGTGCCTCACACATGCCAGGCAAGAACTCCACCACTGAGCCACAACCCCAGCCCCTCATGGGCTTTTCTTTATTGGAGACTTTATTACTGCTTCAATTTCATTGCTTATCTTTGATCTGTTTACATTTTAAAATCTTCTTTGTTCAGTTATAGTTTTTCAAAATATTCCCTAACCTTCCTATGAATTTCAATGCTATCTATTGTAATATCACCATTTTTATTTCTACTTTTAATTATTTAACTCCCTTTCTTTTGGCTAGTTTTTCAATTTTGTTTACATTTTTAAGGAACCAATTCTTAATTTCATTGATCTTTTGTATTGTTCTTTTAGTCTCTATTTCATTTCTTTCTGCTCTGATAGTTACTATTTCTTTCCTTATATAGATTGTATTATTATTATATGGTCTTTGAGATGCATTGTTAGATTATTTATTTGTGATCTCTCCTTTTTTTAAGTGTCAGGATTCATAGCTATAAACTTCCCTCCTAGTGCATCTTTCTCTGTATTCCACAGGTTCTGGTGTTTCCATTTTCAATTGATGCTAGAAATTTTTTAACTCTCCCCCTCTCCAATTTCTTCAAGGAGTGATTATTAATTCAAAAATGTATTGTTTAATATCTAGATGTTTGTGCAATCTGTACCTTCTCTTATTGTTCATTTCTAATTTCATTCCATTTTGATCTGATAAAATGAAAGAAGTTACTTCATTTTTTTTGAATGCTTGAAGATTTCCTTTATGGACTAATATATATGATCTGTTTTTGTAAAAAGTTCCATGTGTTGATGAAAACAATGTGGGTTCTACAGCTATTGGTTGTGATATTCCCTAGATATCTGTTATGTCTATTTTATCTACATTATAATTTAACTTTGATGCTTCTTTCCTGATTTTTTTAAAATCTGGAAGTCAAATAATGAAGTATTGAAGTAACCTACTAATAATCCATTGGGTTCTATCTCTCCCTTTATTCCCTGTAGTGTTTCTTTTATAAAATTGTGTGTTCCAAAGTTTGGTGCATATATAATTGTTATATATTTTGATGAATTGTTCCTTTTATCAATGTATAGTAACCTTTTTGTCTCTTTTAACTAATTTTGGCTTAAAATTTGTTTTTTCAGATATGCATATAGCTATTCTTAATTGCTTTCTTCTTCCATTTACTTGGAATATTTCAGTTTTTGTTTGTGTTTGCCAGTAAGGTGAGTCTCTTGCATGCATTAGATGGTGGGTCTTATTTTTAATCCAATAAGTCCATCTTATGTAAATAGACTTTATGTACAGAATTATTATTAAAGTATGCACTTACTCCTCCATTCTGTTGTTTTTCTTCTGATTGTTTTGGATATTCTCTTTTCTTCTTTCTCTCTTATTCATTTCAGAACTTTGATGGCTTTCTGTTTTAATGTTAAAATTCTTTTTAATTCTCATTCACTTATCTATTCTTCTAGTGATATTTATTCTTACCTATACTCTATGTTTTTTCTTTTCTTCTTCTGCTGGGTATAGGATTTCCATAAGTATCTTCTCTAATGCTGATTTAGTGGTTTATGTTTATCATGAAAGGTCTTTATTTCTTCTTCAATTCTGAAAGATAACTTTTCTGGGTATAGTAATCTGGTTGGCAGTTATTTTCTTTAAGAACTTGAAATACATCATTTCATTCTCTCCTAAACTTTGTAGTTTCTGCTGAGAAATCTGCTATTATCCTGAAGAGTTTGCTTTTAAATATGACGTTTTGCTTCTCCCTTGCAACTTTTATTATTTTTTTTCTTTTTCCTGTACTTTTGGCAGTTTGACTATAATGTGGAGACATTATTTTCTGGTCTTGTCTAAATACCTCCTATATCTTGATGTACATGCCAGTTTGAAGACTTGGAAAGTTTTATATTATTATTTCACTGCATAGATTTTCTGTGCCTTCAACCTATAGCTCTTCTCTCGCATCTACTATGAACATGTATACATTTGGTCTTTTAATGATGTGCCAGAGATCTTGAATATTCTGTTGATTCCTTATTATTTTTTTATTCATTACTGCCTAAATAATTCTTCAACTTTGTCTTCAAGCCCTATATTTGTTCTTTCATTTGTTCTAGTCTGCTGATAAGGCTTTCAACTAAGTTTTTTTAATCTGACTTATTGAGCTTTTCATTTCCAAGATTTTCATTTGTTTCCTTTTTGAAATCTTTATATCTTTATTTTATTGCTTATTTATGTACTGAATTGCCCTTATTAACTCATTCAGATGTTTATTTGTGTGTTTTAGAATTCATTGAGCTTTTTAAAGATCATTATTTTGAAATCTTTGTCCAGCTTCTCAACCACTTTGATATCTTTGAAATCAGTTGCTTGAAAATCATAGACTTTAGGAGATGTCATGTTGCTTCATTCTTTTCACATTTCTTGTGCTTCTATGTTGAGATATGCACAGCTATTCAGATGAATATCTCTTTGATTTTTATGTGAGAGCCTTCCTAGTAAGTGATCTTCTCTTGATGATGTGCCCTGGGATATTGATTTGTTGTGTTAGCTTTTCTTTGTTGTTTACCATATACCTGAAAAACAAGTTAGAGGAAGAAAAGTTTATTTTGGCTCATGTTTCAGAGGTTTAGTCCATGTTTGGCTGGTTTCATAGCTTTGGTCATCATGATGGAACATCATAGTGGAAGGCTATAATGGAGGAAAGCAGCTCAGGACACAGCAACCAGGAAGCAGAAAGATAGCTCCTCCTGCCAATATAAACCCCAAGGCACACTCCCAGTAACCTACATCCTCCAGCCACACCCTACAAGCCTACAGTTGCTGCATAGTTAATCAATATTAGTGGATTAATCCACTAATTAGCTTATACTACTCATAATCTAATCATTTCACCTCTGAAAAATTCTTGCATTTTCTCACACATGAAATTTTGGGTGACCTAACATATAAAACATAACATTCCACACCTAGCCCCAAAATCTCATGCCCATTTCGCAATACATAATAGTTTTAGTCCATTTTCAAGAGTCCTCACAGTCTTAACAATTCCATCATTGCCCAAAAGTTCAATACCAAAATTTCATCTGAGACTCAAGCAAACTCTCAGCTATGAGAGTAAAAGTTCAAAAGCAAGTTACTTATATCCAATACATAATGGCACTGAGTAAACATTTCCATTCCACAAGGGATTAATAGGGGCATATAGAGAAGAGATGGAACCAAAGAAAGACCAAAATTCAGGTGAGGAAACAAATTTTATATAAATCCATGTCCAGCATATGGGGCATGTGTCATTGTGATGTTTTATGCAAAGGTTTGTGCAGCTCTGCCTCTATGACTTTGCTGGTTGCAGCCCACAAGGCCTATCTCTTGGCTTATTTCTGCTCAATTTCTGATGTTTTTCTCAGTAGATAGCCCATGTTACCAGCATATCTTAATCTTGGGGGCCTCCACTGAAGCTTCAGCTGCCTGACCACATCTTCATGCATCATCCTCTAAGAAGCATCCCAAAGGGACTGATCCTACTACATTTTTCCAGGCCTTCCTTTGAAATCTTGGAGGAAGCCTCCATGACCCCCTAACTCCAATATCCTAAATTCTTGCACAACCAGGACCACATGGTTGATCCTAAGGCCTGTCATCATCTTGAGCAGTAGCCATGCCTCCTGAGACCCATTTCTTCCAGCCACATCCTACCTGACTACAGTTACTACTCAGTTAATCCATGTGAATGTATTAATCCACTGATGAGGTTTCAACTCTCATAATCTAATCATTTCACCTCTGAAAATTCTTTCATTGTCTCACACATGAACTTTTGGGGAATATCTTATATCTAAATCATAACAATCATTGAGTTTAATTCCAATTGGACTTCATAGTTTAATTTCTCTGTCTTTGGCTGTGATTAGTGGGTTTTCATACACTGTGTACTGTGCCTGAGCCTGAGGGATTTTCTTTATCCGTGGATCTCACAAGAGTGGGGTGCTTTTGTTAGTTCAGGTAAATGTGATTTAGATAGCAGATATAAGGGCTGCATCCTCTGTGTATACTACTCCAGTCTTGTCAGCAATCTATGATCCCATAAGATATGGGGGTGATGTATGTTGAGGTCCTTTTTACATATAGTGTCCACAGCCTTTGAGTTATATTTCTCTGCAGTTGCTATAAGGTTCAACTTCTAGGAGTAGAACTTCAGGCCCCGTAGCTGTGACTACATGGGAGCTTCTGAATGACAAGGGGCTTTTATCTCCTTCATTCTTTAAATTTAAATATCTACCAAGTTTCAAGCAGGGTTAGATTATGAACTAGAGTAAGGTGTAGTTTCTCTGAGCTGAGCTGGGTATGTACCTCACTGGCATACTACCCATCCAACATGCACAAAGTGACATGTTTGATGCCCAGAATCATAAGAAGAAAACATTAACACCACCAGATATACATTTATATATATATATAATTATATATAATTATTATTATATGATTATATATATAATTATTATAACATAATAATAACATATAATTGTATATAATTTTATATATATATAATTAAAGTAAAATAAAAGCAACCTCAACTACAACACCAAACAACAGAAAAG